ATAATACGATATATATAATCGATATATACGGTATAATATTAACACTCGTTAAACACTCGTTGAACACACGTTTGCGTGGTTCAGCCATACAAGTACGCCGTGTGCGCACGTGCACCCGTTTTGCACGGCCCGTGTACGCGCACGCGCATGCGCATTTGGCATGTATTTACAATGCGGATTGCGCTTGGGGGCTGTAGCGAGCGAGAGCGCTAACCTAATTTGCGGCCGCGGCTTGACTTCCTGCAGGAGCTGGGGATGAAGATGTGCGAGGAGACGCTGATGGAGAAGGAGCTGTGCATGGGGGAATTCCCATCATGCGACATCGACCCGATGAAGGTACGCTGCGCATGCGCGCATACGATTAAACGCTATATATCTCCTATGATGATACGCGGATGTGTGTATGTGGGTATAAAGTCAAACAGTAGTTCTATATTGTGACTGTTTTCACCCAAAAGGTGGCACTATTGCATTCGCTGGCAGCGATGATTTTCCTATCTGGTTATGATCATTACCTTAATGATTAGACATCGTCTAATGCACATCCTTTGTTTACCAACCGCCGAGCGGCTGGATCGGAGCTGGTCCCAATATTAAGGCGGGAGCGGAATGTAAACAGAGAACGTCGTTTTGCACTAGAGGCAGATCCCAAGTGGTCGGGTGGAAATATAACTGAAAACCGTTTCTATTAAGCTTAGGCGTGTTGCGCTGCATTCGAAGAGAATGATCACAAACTGTGGTTTGCCTATCTGCAAACAGACGACGGAAATTTTACATTTTACCACAAAATCTATTTTATTCTCCCACCATCGCTTGAACGTGTTCAGTTCAAGCGGGATATCAATAAGCGCCAGCGGTCCTCCTTTTGTGTGAATGCCTTTAGAGCAAATAATTCGAAGCACAGATTGAAATTAAAGATGTGTGATTGTTGCGTTGTTCTGCCGAGTGCAGGAGGCGTGTGCTGTACACGATGTTGAAGCAAATTTCTCAACTTTATCGGCGCATATTGATCGCAAACAAAACGCAATCTTGAAATTTACAAAGCAATCGTAATCGAGCTTCTGGCACGATGTAATCATACGTTGTGTCATTATGATAAAGGGGTCCATCCGGTGCTGCTCGCTTCGGGGGGGGGGGTCATTGCTCTTGTCATTAGGAACCTAAATTGACCATAGTGACTCCAATGTCCCAATATGTATTATAGACTAATGACGTCTCCATGGCGGCCTATAGTTACAGACTCCTCAGACGACCGCATATCCCAGGACAGATTAGGTCAGGTGTACGGTTCAGTTAGACCTTGTTGCTATTGCAACAACTTGACACGGACCGCTGTGGTCACTGTGATTGCTGCAAAACAATGCCTGTCAGGGCGTTTTGAGTTGCTGCACTCCATCAGCACCGCGCAATATAAGAACGCTCATAGCTAAACACCACGCTATAATGATCAACGACGTAACCGAATGCTTCGTTCTTGCAGTGCAAGATCACACAGTGGTCGTACTGGTCGCCGTGCAGTGTCACATGCGGAGAAGGGGTTACGTTGAGGACCCGGACTTACTTCAACCCGGAGGCATGTATATATTATATACACGTGAAAACAGCGATACGCACGCAGCCAGACAAATGCGTGCCCGCGATGATTGGCACGTTAAATATTTTGGCGAACCGTTCTTTTTTAAATCATATCGTTACTGCGTAGCGATTTCTACGCTGATTTTAGTCGGATCAGTGTCGATTTAGCTTCAGACGTCGCCGATAATGATGATGCTAAATTAGACAGGACGGATCGCTATGCATACGGACTGCATAGTTTCGATTGCTATCTCGATCGGCTAGAAAACATGAGGCGGTATATTGTATCCGCACGCAGATGTGTTCTGCGCACTTTCGGACAGAATTAACGGTCGCATTTTCATTGACAGTTTGAGCAGATGTGTGAGTTGGAGATGATGCAAAAGGATGGATGCGTAGCTGATCAAGCCGCCTGCGTGATGGATCTCAGTCAGGCCGATGGTAGTAGCTACATGCATGCACCCATCCGAGCGCGCACAGACATATGCACACCAACAAAAAACGCAAAATTCCCCCTAAACCCAAAACCATGTCATATAAATGAAAAACTGAAAATTAGCCTGTGGCAATAAGAGGATGTGAGGGTAAGCGAATAGGCCTACAGGTAATTTAATTTCACGAACCTCTGGCATCACCATATTATGCTATTAGCTTACCCGAATCTGTGAACTAACCCAGGGTGTAGGCTTACCTTCAGCTGAGGCTAACCCTTTGCTACCATTACAGAAGTCTGCAACATGCCCCGGGATCCGGGTCCCTGCCGTGGCTTTTTCGCCCGCTGGCACTACGACCCCGAGGAGAGGCGCTGCGGTCGCTTCTGGTACGGTGGTTGCCGTGGAAACTCGAACAACTTCGAGACGTACGAAGAATGCCAGCAAATGTGCGAAATGACGCAGAATGGTGAGATAATCATAAGACCCCCCCCCCTTCGGTATGCGACTCCTAATATAATATTTCTGCTGGCCATTAGTGTTGCTGACGTTGCCGCGTCTTTCGAAAGCAGCTATGCCTCGCGCTTATACGACAAGCCGAAAGTTTTATCAAGTCTTCTACTAACGCTGTGACATCTTTAATGCTTCTTGAGCAGGTAACAGAGAGACCAGACCAGGCGAATCTTCTAATTCCCAACGTAGGAAAGTCACGTCAACTGCAGTACCAGCTGCTATTAGACAGGTATAAACTAACACAATTGAAAGAAATTGTCATATTCGTATTAGGGGGAATATGAACAGGTACCCCACAACACAATTTTAAGGGGAAAATCGAATGCTCACTAATATTTATGACTTACATATTTACGTTATTATTCTCCTATTACGTTACCCAATCCTCCAAGCAGTATAGTAATTATAGTAATATATCGACGTTAACTAAATACACACCATGTAGATTACGGAATGAGGGCGAGGGAGCAGTGCTAAATAATTAACTGTTTCAGTCGACCATTACGCCGCAACAGCCACTCGAAGAGGTAGACCAGGACTGCGTGTGGATATGGCTGGAATGGTCGCCATGTAGCGCCACCTGTGGGCGGGGATCGAGATCACGACAGAGAATGATCAAGTTGCAGGCGTCCGGCAACGGGCGGTCCTGCCCGACAAAGCTTGTACAGACTAGAAAATGTCGTCAACAGCGTTGCCGTAAGTAATGTTTGCATATGATGTACGCACGCATAATATATGGTACAATGTTGCATACTTAATTTGACAAATCGTACACAAAACTCGCATACATGCTTGTGTAATTATGCCAGGCAGTATTCTCGATATGGGTGTTTGTGGTGTGGACCTGTGCATATACCTGTAATACTGTACGGTATTTATTGACAAGTCGGCGAGCAATAATAAAAGATAATCAATCATCAATTATTCATTCGTTAATTGACAGCGATCGACTGCAAGATGACGGAGTGGTCTGAATGGTCTCGCTGCACCAAGTCCTGCGGACAGCACGGCATCACGCGGCGCACGCGCACTGAGCTACGGCAACCCCGCCGCGGTGGCGCCGCCTGTGGCGCTAGCGTTGAAAGGATATACTGCATGGATATGCCAGAGTGCCCCTAATATGTTTTTTACCTACCAGCGTTTCTCGGCTCTTCGGAATAGTTGTTTTCATACCTTCCGGTACAGATGATCCCACCTTTCCGTCTCTATTGCCCCCAGGAGAGAGGGTGACCCAAACAGAACAACCAAGCAAAGGGATGCGCCCACGCGATCCGTATATAGGAGCCGGGTTAATTCTTCGCGATTTTAGTAATTGTTTACAAATTGATCGTGAACTAAATACGTGTATTAGCCAGTTATAGGCATGTTTGTTGGTGCATTCTATTTAGAGTCTTGTATCACTTCGTATATTTTAGTAGACAGTTGCTTTTAACATACTGTCTACGTGCGTATAGCGATAGAGCGACCGATCATAACTGCGTGTGTATCTCAGTATATTTTGACAGGCATTATTCTATACAGGCGGCGTTGTATGAAGTCGAACACGAATTGTCTGGGAAGATACAGAACTACATTGTTTATTTTTTTGCGCGACAAGTCATAACTGATGAAACATATTATGTAGAAGTGTCAGTTTGGTTTGGCAATAAAACGGTATTGTATACTAAAATAATATATTCAGTATTTATGCTGTATTCATATCACATCATTCAACACTGGTGCCTCTAACTAACAGACGCACGCACGCACGCACGCACGCACACGTGTACAGCGCACATGCCCGCGTGTACGTTTGCTTGTCGTGGCTGTTACCGGGGACGCCAAAATACACACTCACAAGTATTTGCTTGCTTATGTTGCTGAAATTCTAATTGTTGCTTACGATGGCGGAGGTTGTCTTCGACGTACGACCCGCCAACTCAAAACTAGAATATTCCGGTGAATATAATTACAGTTATACTTTCTTCTGATATTGTTTACGTATTTTTTTAGTTATTTTTAACGCAGTGGACGCGTCCGGTCAGCGAGTTTTTAAACCGTAGGATGGCGACGCCAGATTGACGAATCACGCGTCTCTGATTGGTACGTGCGGTCGAGGTCCTATCCCAGAAACCACCGCAGCCTACGCCCTACTCCCTAACCCTAACCTTAACCCTAACCCTAATTAAATTTAATTTAATTAACACTAATAAATTTAATTAAATTAAAAAAAAAAAATGTTAATTAAATTGTTGTAAATAAATCATGTAAATATTTGCGTTAATTAGATAAAGATAGAAAAATATTTAAAAAAAATAAACAGGTGGGATTCGAACTAACGCACTTCATAGGCTACGTAGCGCCAGACGCTGTACCAACTATCCTATTCAGCCGATTGAAATTATATATTACTAGCTGCGGGTACCCGCTGCGCTTGGTAAAATCGTGCTACTAATTCATACTACTAATAATTGGACACAATAGGAACATTGGGTAAAAATCGACAATATAACATTGCACACAAAATCAATATTTACAAATCAGTCTAATAAGATAATAAGCATAGGGAAAAACTGTTACGTATGACATTTATATGACAGCAGAACCCAACTTAGAACCCCTGGAACATAATAGTAATATGGTGTAAATGAGAAAAAGTTATTATAACAGCATGTATGAATGGGTTGCAGTCTTCATTTGAAAACCTCTTGATAAACAATGGTTTGCGTGTTATTTTGTCTGTGGAAATATGTAGAGATTGCTGGCGTCTCGAACTGTTGAGCTCACCACGTACAGCTATCCATTGTCAGATCGTAGGATGAATAAACGAAATTGGGTATATAGTATATAGATAGAGACAGGCCAGCCAGTGGGGTCTGTGTCCATTGGATATTGTCTAGTGAATGCTTGGCGCGCAACCATGCACATTGAAATAAAGGAATTTTTCTACTGAATCAGAAAAGGCATAGCTTTCAAATGGTACAATGGATTCTGAAATCGTAGCATGAATAAAAAAAGTCGATATATAGTATACAGACAGGCCAGCGAGTGGGGAAATTTGTAATTATAAAAGAATGTTTACTGACTTGGTACGCGTCTTTATGCGTTGATGTTTTGAGCAATCGTAACCTCTCAAGCTATATGATACTCATACTAAACTATAGTGAATCTCTATAAATATTTACAAATCAGTCTAATCAGATAATAAGCATGGTAAAAAACGGTTACGTATGACATTTATATGACAGCACAACCCAACGTAGAACCCCTGGAACATAATAGTAATATGGTGTAAATAAGAAAAAGTTATTCTAACAGCATGTACGAATAGGTTGCACTTCTCATTTCAAAGCCTCTTGATAAACAATGCAGTCGTAACCTCTGAACAGGTTCGTATGTATGTAGTGTATGTATGTATCTTCCTATAGGTCGGGCAAACCCGCCCAAGGTCGATCTGGATGCAATTTTCACAGAGGCCATCTGTTTATACCCGGGGAGTGTTCCTAGACGAAAAAAATCTGTCAAACCAGTCAAACTCACCGAAAAATCCGCTGGAAAAAACCCCTGAATTCGTGAAACTTTCAGACAATGTCAGCATTCAACTGTACAGTGCTGGCCAACACAGAAAAACCGCTATGACTATTTCTTGCCCTATCTCATCCATCTATCAGCTGCTGGCTATTGTGAATAACCGAAAATCGAAACAATACTAAATACAGAGCATAACACCAGGAGTCCAGTTCAGAGGGTACTACTCACTCTGACAAGTGAGAGGCTTTCCAGTATTCAGACTGCTAACGACTCAGAATGCATATGTACATTCCAAAGCTATGCATTTTCTGATTCAATAGAAAAATCTCTTAATCTTTCAATGTGCAGGGTTGCGGCGCCAAGGCTATTCACTAACAAATATCCAGTGGACACAGACCCATGGCTGATATGGGGGGGGGGTGTGAGGGTCGTACGACCCCCCCAAAATTTCAAAAGTCCCATTTTTTCAAGACATTTTTTTTCGGCGGCCTTTTTCACAACTGACATAAATGAAAAGCATAATTGGATCAGGGGTACCGAGCAATTGAGTCCAAAGACCTTCGCATTGCGTGACGTAAATCTATCCCAATTCCGAGAATTCTGAGAAACGAGGTGGAGCTTTTTTAAATACAATATTTTGTTTAAAAAAACTGAGTTCAAAAAAGAGAGACAAAGATCTGACAAAAGACAAAGAACAAAGACAAGACAAGATCAGACAAAGAAAGGATAAACAGTTCAAAAGACTTGTTTTCAACTGGTCAGGAAAACTTGTTTAAAAAAAACTGATAGAAAAACAAAAACTTCAACTTTTTGTTTTAAGATTCTTTTATTCGTGGTACGATCTCACAATGGATAGCTGTCGTGGTGGCGAGGCTAACAGTTCCGATACGCCAGGAATCTCTACATATTTGCACCAGAGAATAACACGAAATTCAAGAATAAGACAGAGACAGAGAACAACACGAATAATCAGCGAATTCAAGAATAAAGACTGAGATATAAGAAATTTAGCACCCATATTACTATTATGTCCAGGGGTTCTAAGTTGGGTTGTGCTGTCACATAAATTTCATACGTAACAGTTTTTCCCATGCTTATTATCTTATTAGACTGATTTCCAAATATTGATATTGTGTGCAATGTTTATTGTCGATTTTTACCAATGTTCCTATTGTGTCCCATTATTTAGTTATAGTCAGGTTCACTATGTTTTTTCGTTCAGAAATATGGTAGATTAGCAAACCTATACATTTTTGAAAGGTCATAGCATGAGGAAATCGCGAAAAACATGCTTTACATCTGCGGAGATACCGGCATGGCGCCATTTTGGTATTTTCAAATGGCCGCCCCATAAAAATACATATTTTGCCGTATTTCTGCCCTCTAATCAGCTAAAAACTTTTTTTAAAATATGCTGAATCATGATGTTTCAGGACAAGGAAATCCATTGGTGACATAACGAGCTTCTAACTGTAAGCACTTGATTTTTTTCAGGAAATATTTAGTTATTGAAAAGCAAAACAAAATCATCTACTAATAGCATATTATGCGTTCTTGCAACATATAAACTGCCGCACTTAGGTTGGGATCATTAGCTTCTGCTACTATCTAGATCAAAAGAGAAATGAGAACAGAGCCACATCCAGGTTTGCGCAGGGTTCAAATCACTCGTGTCAGCTGGCGCAATGTCGCTGACCCACGTCGGCGCACATACCACTGCTGCCAGAAGTGGCACGATAAGTGGCCTACCCATGCTGACTGTGATTCTGCAAGGCATATCCGGAATTGAACGACGTTGGTCGTTGGTGAAGAATACCCGCAGTGATTTGCGTTCGATCATGGCCACTGTAGAGAAGGTCAGTTGCAGTTACTCGATTTCAAGACTTGATCTCGAAAGGAAAGCAGTTATCTCCCAGACTGGTGTGGGACTGCTAAATGCTGATGATAGGCTGCGCTGAGAGCTTGGGAACGTCCATATGAAAACTCAGGGATAGTATGATGCGTGAGATTGAGGCCTGACGTATCACACCCGGCTTGCCCACCCAGACAGATCTCAAGTGCGCTCAGCTATCAACGAGAAACATCTTCCGTGCACACGACATCCACACTTATATGGCTCCTATATTGAACTTGTCTGGCAGCTTTCTTCACAGAAAGCCCAACCTTAAGCCATTTGCGTGATAGAGCAGGCAAGATAATGTCAGGAAGGTTGTGCAAAATCAGCAGCTGACAGAAGCTCAAATCCCGAAGAGCGGTGACAAGGACAATGACGCATCTACTACACAACCCTGCATAACGACGAACGTCATTCAACAGCTGAAAATGTGGGAAGTCGCAGCGAAATCTTCAAATGCAATGTCAAGTTCTTGATGAACTACATCCACGCGGGTTGAACCATCTTGCACTTTGTTGAGGGCATTCCAGGAATTCAACAATCTCGTTCTCCACCCTTCAAGCTGGGAGGGCACAAGCAAGTCTTATTCTGCGGCCATTGATCGAAAAAATACAAGCGCCTCTGGCCACGTACATGCGCAAGACTTGCATGAGTTGAAGACAAGCCCATCAGAAACTGGAGGAACACACAGACGGAAACTATCTGTGACCAAAGAGTACGACATCCATTTTGTCTCGGATTGGATCAGATCACGGCATAATGAACAACTCAACCAGGATGATGAAGGATACATTCTGGGTTAGATTGGCCATTTCGCAATAATGGCAACGCTCGTCAACGGTCTACTTCTTGGGCCACTCCCTGAGATGTGAGCGTCTTTTCCGCTGAATCCGGGCCAATTCCATCTTGCTGTAAAGCAAGCCACAAGAGCATCATGTGTTTCAACCAAGGTGGCTGATGAGAAAAGCGCATGACAACCGTTGATCGCATAAAAGGCTGCCATCTGATCAGCGGCAATCGCTTCGCTGGCTGAGGTGACAGACTCTACAACTTCATCAGCCATGCATATGTCCCACACAGAAGAGTGTCTGTCACAGATCCTGAATAATCGACGACACTGGTGGCAGAAAGCTGTATGGTGGAATTACGGGCTATTTAATGGAGATGTCAGCTGTGGGCACCAGCTCAAGAAGCAGCAGACAACAGGGTACATGTCAGGAAAACAAGAAGAAACGGCGGGCTACAGAGATCGCGTGACAGTCAGTAGAGT